AGGATGTATTTACCGCCGTCGTCGGATGCATTGACCTTGATCTGCGTCTTCATGCACTCATTCCCATCCCCGAAACATCTAGGGCAATCGGTGATTCGCATCCATATCTCGCGGTACCTGTGCAGTATGATCATCGTGAAACCATCTCGGTCCTCGTGCCCATTCACCCTCCTTTTTTCAACGAGTACTCGTTGGGGTGAACCGCTCGTAATTTCTGTTTGATCATGCAAAAAATTTCGTCTGAGTAAAATGACCGGATCGGAGAGCCGGGGATCGCTCTTTCCTGCCAGAGATTCCGAGCGCCTCGAGTCCACGTATTGAAAATTCGAATATTCCTTGGCTTTTGACCCCCTCTAATCAACAAATTTTGACCGGGCCATCAGTGAATTTTAGTTAACACGTATATAAGCCATGTCTGGGCCATCACTAACAGATGGTTGGCTAACAGTTAGGTGAAGCCGAAATATGGTCAGACATGTATGGTTAGTCTTTCATCGGGCCAAACGTGGCTCATTGTTGGAAATTAAAAAATGTAATAATGAAACCACAACTGTCATACATATCGGAGAGGTAACTACGCGTCATTTGGCAAAGACCAACCTCATCTCTCACCAACTTTTCATCTTCATCTGGACGAGATACAAGTAGTACGTCAGTGAAGTCTCTATTTTCTATTACCTTTTATGGCATCAAAGATTAATCTCCAATCAAGACCAGACCAACCTTGGTTGAGGATATTACTCCACTATCTTTAGGAACTGACGGAACTCAAGGAAGTGATTCATTCAGATGCAAGCATACATATGTCTTCTTTCATGAAATGAAAATCAGTTTATACTGACTTTAACGTTTTTGCTAATAGGTTTAGAGCCGAAAGTATTCCCCAGCCATGGTGCCAAGTAGAACGAACTATCTTCCTCCCAACCTCCAGACCGAAATTGGCTGGAGTATTCCCAGGGTAGATTACCTCTTCAGAAATTGTGTCGAGGAATTTCATTGTCTTCCGCTAAGATCTGCGTGGGAAACCACCTGGAATCGTGTCGAAGACAAAGGGGAATAGTTTCAGTAGAATCAGGGAGTGACTAGCTAGTACAACTTAGGCGCCATCTCACGTCCGTTTTAGGAACCTTGTTAGCTACCAGGTTAGCTACATTGGCTGCACATGAGCCACTGCGGCCGTGTGCCTCCCAGTGAGGGGACGAGAGTGATTTGGTGGGTTAAATTATTCGCCGAAGATGGGCCAACCTCCTCAACTATGGGCCGAGGATAGACCAACCAACTTTTTTTGACTGGGTCGTCCGCTTCAGAAAGATATAAGAGAATATTTCCAACGATTCAACGTGACTTGCATTCGAATACGACAGAAATGAAAGATGATTATGTAAAGAATATTTTGAGTAGGATGGCTTCCCGAAACGACGCATGGAAGCCACGTCTCAAATTTCAACGTTGCTTATTGCAGCATCTGTAGAAGGTGAGTTGCGTATGGAACGTTTCTAGCAGTCAGCTTTTCGGCGTGGTTTTGCTGTCGAATGGAAATTTCTCATCGAATCCCTCACATGAAGGTAGGAGAAAAGATATTCGGAGGTGAAACTCAAGGCAGTGGATAGCCCACCGCACCTCACGATTCGCTTAGAGTCTTAGACCATGGTGCCATCGAGCCACGTACGGACCCGTACGAGGTAACAGGCAACGAGGAGTGGTGTTACTGCACCGGCATCGGTTCGTAGGGGGATGGGTCCAGCGAGTCCGTCTCGCTCGGTGGACCGATTTCTGAGTAGGACTGCATTCCTGCGACGTCACTCGACACGGACCAAGACCAAAAGTGTATCGTTTGGACTTAGGAACTCGTGGAGGCACGTATTCAGGCAGACATCAAATGCGTCTTCTTTTTTCACTTTCGGGTTCGAACTCCCGGTCATCGCGGGACCGATTTTACGAACGGAACACCCCTTGCGATGTACGACGTAAGTAACGAACGTGATGCTCGTGCTCGATAGACCGTTTTCCTTCGCGTAGTCTTCGCACGCTCTGGCGATCTCCTTGGTCAGANGCGAAGGATGTATTTACCGTCGTTGTCGGATGCATTGACCTTGATCTGTGTCTTCATGCACTCATTCCCATCCCCGAAACATCTAGGGCATTCGGTGATTCGCATCCATATCTCGCGGTACCTGTGCAGTACGATCATCGTGAAACCACCTCGGTCCTCGTGCACATTCACCCTCCTTTTTTTAACGAGTACTCGTTGGGTTGAACCGCTCGTAACTTCGGTTTGATCATGCAAAAACTTTTGTCCGAGCAAAAAGACCGGATCGGAGAGCCGTGGATCCCTCTAGCCTGCCAGAGATTCCGAGCGCCACCAGTCCACATATGGAAAATTCAAATATCCTTGGCTTTTGACTCCCTCTAGTCAAGGAATTTTGAGCGGGCAATCAGTGACTTTTAGTTGACACGTATGTAAGCCACGTCTGGGCCATCGCTAAAAAGATGGTTGGCTAACAGTTAGGTGAAGCCGAAATATGGTCAGACATGTGTGGCCAGTCCTTCATCGGGCCAAACGTGGCTCATTGTTGGAAACTGAGAAAAAATTATGAAACCACAACTGTCCTACATCTCGGAGAAGTAATAACTACCCAAACAGCACGTTTATGTTCATTTTACGTAAACTGAATGTAAATTTTTTATCCATTTTATTTCATTTTTACACAAACCATCGTCAAGAAAATGTCAACATGTTTGCAGAAATGTCACCTATATTATTCGTAAACGGTGATATATAATTAACGTAAATTTTACGTAAAATTGACATTCCCGTTTGCATTCCAAACAGCATGTTTACGTTCATTTTACGTAAGATTTATGTTAATTTTACCCTGGCGTTCATGCGTATTTAAAAGAGTCAATCAGTACTATTGAAGAGAATTGATATACTGAATTTCCTATTCCTTTACATTCTTCGGAACTATAGGGTGGTTGGACGAGTACAAGAGTACCCATCCTCACCAGCACTCAAGAGTATCATAGTGACCTACTGTTTTCTACTCCCGTACCAGAGCCTCAGAAGGAGGAGTAGATGTTCAAAGGATCTCTCTTCCTTCTAGGATAGAGATAATGTAGTACTTGTGGGGCTGAGATTCTACCCTTCTCTAATCCCGTGCACTGCTGTAATAAAAAGCTCAACTTTAGCATTTAATGATTCCCTGAGTCATATATTATAAAAAACATATAATAATTTCATGTTTTCCATATATATATTCATGGAGCGCATAATAAAAAGTAGAAGGATGGTAAGAAAGCCTGATACTGTATCAGGAAAACCAGTACTTAAGTGTAATTGTAGGTTGCAGGGAACAAGGGTTCCATCTAGTGAGGAATCTTGGTACTGCAACTGCAGGATGGTCAGCTAAAGTTTCATATGGATGGTGTAGTCTTAATATTTTTCATAAATTTGATATCATGTACTTCACGTCAGATGGAGTGACGTCTAGTTGATGTAAATACACGAACACTTTGGTGACGTAAATATAGGAACGTAAATTTTAAGTAAACGTGATGTCATTTTCATGGCAATCGCAGGAAATTTACATTGTTTGCAAAAAAAATTGATATCTTGTTTACGTGAACATGCTGCTTGAGTAGTCATTTGGCAAAATCCAACCTCATCTCTCACCAGCTTTTCATCTTCATCTGGGCGAGGTACAGGTAGTACTTCAGTGAAGTCTCTCTTTTCTATGACTTTTTTGATATCAAAGATTAATCCTCAACAGAAGTTGCTAGCTTCGACCTGCCAAGAAAGCAGTGGACCATGCTTAACCTCATCCGCACCTCACACGGCCGTTGCGCAATGAAGGGACGATAGATAACTACGGCACGAGTGTGGCTTCGTCAGTCAAATTTGTTGCCGAAGATGGGCCAACCTCCTCAGTTATGGGCCGAGGATACACTAACGAAAATTTTTCAAAATTTTTTCGCTGGTCTATCTGGTCTAAATATTCGTTGGTCTAGGTCGTCCGCTCCAGAAAGATGATATCAGATAATATTTCCAACGATTCAACGCGATGACTTGCACTCGAAAACTTCAGAAATGAAATATGATTATGCAAAGAATTTTTTGAGACGGATGGCCTTCCGAAACGACTCAGAGCAGCCACGTCTCAAAATTCAACGATGCATATTGCAGCATCTGTAGAAGGTGAGTAGTGGATGTGACGATTTTATCAGTCAGCTTTTTGGCATGCTTTGGCTGCCGAATGGAAATATCTTTTCGAATCCCTTACATGAAGGTAGGAGAAAAAATCTTTGGGGGTGAAACTCGAGGCAATATCTAGCCCACCGCACCTCACGATTCGCTTAGGCCATTTGTCTAAAGCCACGTACGGACCCGTACGAGGAAACAGGCATCGAGGAGCGGTGTTACTGCACCGGTGTCGGTTCGTAGGAGAATGGGTTAAGCGAATCCATTTCGCTCGATGGATCGATTCCCGGGCAGGACTGCATTCCTGCGACGTCACGCGATACGGACCAAGAGGAAGAGTCCATCGTTCGGATTGAAGAACTCGTGGAGGCACGTATTCAGGCAGACATCAAATGCATCTTCTTTTTTCACTTTCGGGTTCGAACTCCCGGTCATCGTGGGACCGATTTTACGAACGGAACACCCCTTGCGATGTACGACGTAAGTAACGAACGTGATGCTCGTGCTCGATAGACCGTTTTCCTTCGCGTAGTCTTCGCACGCTCTGGCGATCTCCTTGGTCAGATTCTGGAAATACATCCACGTCTCTGCGTCGTGGGCAGTCTGGAAAAGAAAACACGGGGATCGTGAATGAGGCGACGGGAAACGAAACGGCGATGGCGTACGTGAAGGAAGAAGGAGCAGAGACGAGATTTTCGAGTTTCTTCTCGGGATGACGGAGTAGCACGGTGATGGATGGAGGATCTCCCGAGGGGATCGGCAACGCTGACGTCGTGGGCCCTTCCGTCGTCGTCGTCATCTCTGTCTCGTTACCTGCTCCGTCACGAATCGACCGTCAGAGACGTCAACTTCGAATGACTCGAGGGCGAGACGAGGAAAACGAACCGAATTGGGTGAAATTGAGGGAGAAGCCGCGGTTACTTCCGGATTTGAGGACGGGGAGAACCATGTAAATGACTGCATCGTTGCTCGCCACACGAATCCTTTTCTTCTCCTGAACAACCTTGTTGCTTAAGATTCGGGAAACGAAACGGCGATGGCGTACGTGAAGGAAGAAGGAGCAGAGACGAGATTTTCGAGTTTCTTCTCGGGATGACGGAGTAGCACGGTGATGGATGGAGGATCTCCCGAGGGGATCGGCAACGCCGACGTCGTGGGCCCTTCCGTCGTCGTCGTCATCTCGGTCTCGTTCCCTGCTCCGTCACGAATCGGCCGTCAACTACGTCACCAACGGATCACTCGAGAACGAGACGAGAAAAACAAACCGAATCGGGTGAAGTTGAGAGTGAAGTTGCGGAAATTTTCAGGAGAGCGATTGGGAAGGGCCAAGTAGACGACTGCATCGTTGTTCGCCACGCGAATCATTTTCTTCCCCTCAATCTCCTTGTTACTTAAAATAATCCCGCTACTTGCCAATGTCACCTCTCGCCCTGTCACGATTGAAAGGTGAAAGATGAAATGTCACGGGGAGGGGAGGGGTCTGAGGAGAGACTCAGCGCTCTTCCGTGTACCGACCACCGCCGATGTAGAGGAATTCCCCTAGAGAGTCGGTGATATCCAGATTTATGAGTTGGAAGTCCCATCCCGTTCCTGGGGGTCCCGACAGATGCCAGACGTATCGTCTCCGCTCCGGGGGTGTCTCCTCATCCTCTCTGTATTCGATCGTCCCGTTGAAACCGGTCATATAAAACTCCCGGCTCTCCGAACCTTACCACCAATTGAACCGACTGCATGAATCATCTTGCCTCGTTCATCGACCAATGAAAAGAAATTAGAGGGAATATCAGACTGTCGTTTAAGACGGTGTAGAAGAGCTTGAAGGGCGACACGGTTTTGCGGGTCAATAGGTCAACCCAGGCTTCATCGCCTTCCACTGTCACCTTTGTGTTTTCACTGACAGGTGCATCAAAAGTAGCAAGTGTCGTTTCATCGGTCCCCGAGGGTACCTCATCTTTGTACTTTGAACCCACTCTCAATTGCAGATCTCCGGTAGGGAAAGTCCCGAAATCCTCTGGAGTCAAGAGGATTTCGATGATGCCCTTCGGATCACTCCCAAAGATATTCCACAGGCATTTCTGCAAGTTGAAAATCACCAGGAGAGAGCCCTCGTAAACGAATTTTTCATCTATCCTTGAGGCATTTTGGCAAAGAACACGAAATTGATCGAATTGGTTCTTCAGCACCACTCTGCGATACACCCCATGACTTTGGCAAATAAACTTTTGTCGATCAGGAAGAGGGTGGCGGAAAAATACATTTGTATCAGAAACAAGTGAAATAGGTTCATGGAGACACATGGAGACGTTTCGTTTCTGATTCCCCTGCCAAACTCGTGGGAATTTAGAATGGCCAGCTGTTTCCCTATCTACCAATTTCTCTAAATTGTTGCTCTTTATAATTGCTGGGAGATTCCAAATGTGAATCCTTAACATTGCTCCACGTCAGTCATGTTCTCGAATTCAATGGAAAACTTTTAAATTCGTAATTTTTCCCCCGCTGTAGATTGGATCGTGTGAATAATTTTAGGATTTCCCCTCGATTTGAAGAGTTTCTCAGGACACACCAGTATAAACCCTTCCTGATTTCCTGCTTTGGTGGTGCACTCTTAAAAACAAGCGAGTGCTAACTTCTGCTTACTCAGAGAAGAGGAAAAAGAGGGGAAAATCTCTCTATTTTCTCTTCTTGTTTTTGGAGGAAAAAATTGGAGGAAAAGGGGATCTAAAAGAGCCAGTTAGCGCTCGCCTTTTTTAAATGTATAGTGTGGATGGTTTCACTTCGTACTTGCTCCGAATGTACCTCGACGAAACGAAAGAAATCTAGGACAGACAGACCCTCCTTTTCCGTAGATAATTAGAAACTCTTTAGAGAAGAATCGGTTTCACTGCACTTCGCCAAAAAATGTGCAGAGCGTTATGACTCCCAGTAACAACATGTGTTGCAACACTCTTTAAAAAAAAAAAAAGAAAAAAGGGAGCGATATTGCTCAGACGGTAAGCTGGAGTTATGATTTATACTATAAACAATTAGGGAGTAAATTCGCCAAAATTCGCTCTTCTGAGAAAAAGCACATTTGTTGATTTTTGGAAAGTATTCTCCCCTTCTTCGCCACGCGCTCTGAAAAACTAAAGGGATTTGGCAAAGAAAAGCGAGTAGTCAGCGATTTTGCTAATATTTTTACGAAGTAAAAACTGGCAACTCCAGTTGTTGGGGAGAGTGGGGTAATATCGAACGGCGGGTAAATCAGAACAGCGCAAAATATCCTATTTGGAATGTGCATGGCAAACAGCCACTTGTGCCACTGCATAGACTTTATCAACAAGCGTGAGAACCTATTGTGAAAGTTTCCGTGACTTGAACAGCTTTCCGAAGAAAGCAATATCTTCATTTTCATTTCGATTGGTTTAAGGAACTGCTCGAAAGGCGTCACCTCCCTTTGTGTTCTACAAGATTTGACCGATTCTAACGAATTCGCGTGGAGAAGAGTAATTTCTATTCTTTCGAAAGTGACGGAACCTGCGATATTCGTTCGTTCGCTAGTCCGTGAAAGTGGGTTTCTTGAACGTCGGTGCTGTGGAGTAAATCCAGACAGGCGAAGGAAGGGAAAACCGATCGTTCGGATTTGCCACAAATTCTATTGCATCGGCGTTGTAGAAAAATATGAATTACTGCATGCTACCCAGGCAATACTTATACTGTCCTAACTTGAGCAATTACGTATTATTTGCCTAGAAAGTACAAAAAAGAAAAAAAAAACAATTGGAGTCGAGATCTTTTATTCTTTAGGGGAAGGTGGGGTAAAATGGAGCAAGGGGCAAAACGGGGCAACTCAGATATTAACCAAACCATACCCAATATCTATCGGCTATTTACCCTATTATAACCGCCCACCACGGGTGCAAGTTTTCAGGCACAGCGGCGCCCTGTAAAGTAGTTTGTAAACACCCAAGGAGCAAAACAAGAAAACATCGACTTTCCATATTTTATTTTGAGTTTTTCATGAGCGAAACAAAGGAACACGGAACATTGGAGGAGTCCGATTTTTTTTGTTGGCTGAAGGTGAAAATGTGAACCATGACATGAAGTCAAATTTTTTGCATAACCCACCCACCTTTTGTTTGGCAGTGTCTTAATTATAGACGGTGCTGATGGGACAAAACGGGGTGACGGTGAGGGGGCAAAATGGGACGTTAAAGTGGCTCTATATACACAGCAAACAAGGCTACGGTGGACCAACGTTTTAACAACGTTCCAAACGTTTATTCAACGTTGATTCAAGGCTGATTCAACGTTAGGTGTTTAAAATTGTTTGCTGGGCATCTATTCTCTTCCGACTGGAATATCCATTAAAATGGTGAGACTCCGGCTGACGCGATGTGTTACTGTTCAGAGTCTTTCTCCTGCTCAAAACCCAGTGAAGGTTGGGTCACCGAAATTCAGCTCATGACGTCTGTGCAGACATCAATGAGACACGGATGAGGACGTGTTTTTCTCTAACTTCTGTAAATTTGCATCTATGATGAATACATGGATAACAATTTGAAAGAGCAACAATTGATTTGCCTTAAACGTTTCATTGTTGTTTCCGTTCAGTTCCTCACAAAATTTTTTACTTGAGGTAAAATTGGGACGATGAAAATGAGACAAAAAACCGATTTTTTTCCCCTCTCTCAACCTGTCAGAAGACCCTGCAGGTAAAGATTAGGGGGGAAATCGGTTAAATTTGAACGAATGAGAGGGTAATGTTTAGTATGGGGTGGCCTTAGTAAATAGACATTTAATGAAAATATGAGGAAACATGAGGAAAAAACACGGTTTATTTGTAGATGTTTCATTGCTGTTTCTGTTCTTTGACCTTTGTAGGTACCCAAGTAACACAGTATGCTGATGAAACATTTCCCGAAATGTTGCCTATGTTGCAAGTTCACGAACAACATTGATAAAACATTGCTTCAACGTTTGCACTTAAAAATGTTGCTATGACACTACAACGAATGTTATTGGAACATTCCGTGTGCAACTTCTGCTTATATGTAAATGTAGAAGCGCTTTTCAGTGTTTTTTCTCCCAATGTTCAGATTTACTCCACCTAATGGGGTAAAACCGAATGAAGCCATTTTTGGAAAACATTGCTGTTGTTAGCTGCCAACGAGTTTTTCTTTATTTATTTCAAAACTACAACTCTTTAACAAACAGAAACTGATTTAAAGTACGGCTCAAATCACAATTTCTGGCCTACAAAGCAGACTTTCCTTAAGTATTCGGTATTACTCCACTCTACCCTACTCCCTCTTAGCTCCCTTTTAAATTTACTTAAAGAGTGAAGTTAATGCAAGATAATTAAAACAAGTTTGCAGAGATTTTGAGTCACTTTCCCAGCAAAGTATGCTTTGTAATAGGCTACGGTTGTTTCACGAAAGTTGCAAGCTCAAACATATATTTTTACACGTATGAGACTCCATAAGAAACTTCACGGATTCTCGACTGGGCTGTTCGGTGAGGACGGGAGGGAACATTTTTTCTTGGGAAGAGGAAGCAGAAAAGTCGCACAAAAAAAAATATATTCGTCAATGAAAAGAATTCCTGGAGAGAGGGGAAAGAATGCGGATGGCAGACCTGGAATTTGGGGACGACTCCGTTTTCATCTACGCATGGCTCCACGGTCCCTTCGGCCTTTGTCAAATTCACCCAGTAAAATCCGGACTCCGGACATCTCTCATTTGTTACCTCTTCCAAGCCTGGTCAAAGTCCGAAGTCGTTCATCATTAGACTCATTATTTCATAATTATAAAATTTTCCCAATTTTAATTGTCTATATCCCCTGTTTACATTCTGGAAGAACCAAGAGTTTTATACAGGGTGTTCAACTTAAAATTATATATATATAATTTTAGCGACCAGAAAACTCCTGACCATGCATCATACCCACCATCCGAAGGCTGCCGTCGAAAGACTCTACCTTCCGAGATNGGGATGTGGTTCATCCCCCCTCATATCTCCAATACCGGCAGGTGCCGTGGAAGGATTTATATATATCTCAGCTCTTGTTCAACGCACATCTATGAGCTACAGCTTATTGATAGGCTATTCCTCTAGAATTTAGCCGAGCTATGACTGACTTTCACCTGCTCAAGGCATCAAAAGTTATGATCGATTTTCTGAAGCGCCCTTGTCGCGCTTTAAGCGCATCGCGGCTTGTCTCAGTGCGACGTTGTGGTACCGTTTACCGAGTTGCTGCCTAAAATGTTTACTTATGTTCAATATGTTCAGTTTTCTCCTTTGCAGACCCGTGATACAGGGCGATGAAGTCATGGAAATTGTGACAATTCAGGAACACTGTCACTTATCTCTCCCAGTCAAAAATTTTCGTCAGTTTATCCTCGGGCCATAGCTGGGGGAGTTGGCCCATTTTCGGCGAATACTTGACCGGCCAACTCACTTGTGAGTCACTTATGAGTTGGCCGGCCAATCATCCGCCGAAGATGAGCCAATGTGTTGCTGAGAAGGTTCCGAAAACCGACGTGCGATGGAGTGGTCGTGGTGGGGAGTGACTTCCCGGATACTACTGAAATGAGTCCCCTGTCCCTTTGACAAGGTTCCCTATGGTTTCTCACATACATCTCAGAGTGAAACAATTGAATTCCTTTAAACATTTCTATGAATATGTAACCTAGCCCTGAAATAAACCAGAAAATTCCAGCCTGGAGGTCCGTGGGAGGATCCTCCTACTTTCCACAATAAGCCACGCGATCCGGCGCAATCCTGTCTTCTTAAAAGCAAATTTGCGCATACGCTACTGTAGGAACATTTCATTTGGATATACGCTATGTATACATATCACATACATAGATGGATCGTTGATATTGTGAATGACCTCAACAGACCGTAAAATGCGTGAGTCTGCTCTCGCAAGTGTGTAGATCCATAAGGCCTAGTGCTAAGACTGAAACTCCCTCGGTCGCGTCGTTTTAGCAAATAGGTGATCTTTCCTTATCTTACCTTATCGGAATGCGTCACATGTTCAAACCTGAGATGCGAGCAGAGAGAGAAATATTTTCAGAAAGTACTCGGGATGCTCGTCCATTTTGGAACAGGCGAATTCAGAAGAAGTGAACGATTCATTCTTTTCACATCTTTAGGATTTCTGCAAATCCAGCAAAGAAAGACTTCATACGTGTGCAAGTTCGCGTATTTTGAAAGAATCTA